CTGATTACCTTTCGTACCTGATTACGCCCGGACAAAGGCCAATAAAGTAATCTTACTTGGGCCAACGTACCTAATTGACCGGCATGCAATTGTCTCAGATGCGCTTCCTGAATAATTAATTCCGTCACGTGGTGTTTAGGTAAAAGAACGGGGAATATTCTATCAAATGGCAAAGATGAATTATTCAATCGACCCCCCACCCTGATCAACATGTCGGAATCAAGAAATGGATTTAATGACGCTATGCTACTGGTAACGACGCTTTTGTCATTTTTTAACGAACGTATTTCATTCGCAAACGCTTCGGCTTGGGTCAATTGCAACACGCGAAGTCGCGCATCCTTAAGTTCATCGTTAGTTAATGGGCCTTTGATTTCGGGTTCACGTTTGACTCGGTGTTTCAAGTTTGTTATCACACGCTTCCAAGAAGCTACTGTTTTCACTAGCTTCGAAAACCTTGAATGCACGCGTAAAATGAAAAAATCTAATTTTGGATTTTGGACGGCTACTGCAGCGATAACTCGTTGTTCCAAAATGTCCCCGCCTTCATGCAGTTCCGCGTGTGTATCGGTAGCATCAATATTTAAATTAATTTGGTGGAGCCACGTAGGTCCGTGGAACCACAACGAAATTTTGCCTAATTCCGTGGGATTGGTTCCGCGAGTTATTACGTCAGCCGGGTTTTCTGTGCCCTTTACATAATGCCAATTATGAGCGTTGGTCAGGCGCTGAACTTCTGACACTCTGTTAGCTACAAAAGTCTTCCAGTTGTATGAGTCAGCAGCTAACCATGCCAAAACGATTTTTGAATCCGTCCAATAATGACGGTGTTCAGGCAACAGATCGTACGTTTGCGCAACCCTTGAGGATAAATTTGCTAATAGTACCGCTCCACATAGCTCCAGCCTAGGCAAAGAAATTGTTTTTAACGGTGCTACGCGGGACTTCGCACATACTAATCTTACGTGAACATTCAACTGATAATCTATAGATCTGAGAAAAATGACGGCCCCATAGGCCTTTTCAGAGCTGTCACAAAAACCGTGTAGTTCTAGCTTAATGGGATCGCGACAGACAATACTCCGTGGAAAATGTATTTTGTTTAGATTAAGCAAATCATGGACGAATGAATTCCAGGCCTTATTCAGATTTTCCGGAAGTTCGTCGTCCCAATTTATTTTTGAAATCCATATTTGTTGCATAATGATTTTTGCTTTCGTGACAACTGGATTTATTAGTCCTAAGGGATCGAATAGCTGTGATATAGCGCTCATCACGGATCGTTTTGTATTTTTTGTGAGTTTGAACCTGAAATTTGTGAATGAAAAATAGTCATCTTCGTTATTCCATTTAATACCCAAAGTTTTATTATCATGATTCTTGTCTAATATCAAACAATCAGTGGATTTACCCCTTTCATGTTGGAGGGCGTCCGGACAATTCGATGACCATTTGCTCAACGAAAACCGTCCCTTTGCGAGAACCGTTTTTAATTGTTCTTTAATACTTATTAATTCCGGAATAGAATCGCTACCAAAAAGCGCATCATCTACATAAAAATTATTATTGATTACTCGGTAGGCTAAGGGGTAATTGATTCGCTCTTCGAAACCTATTTGTTGAATGCATTTTATTGCTTGAAATGAGGAAGGTTTTAAGCCGTATGTGACAGTGTTTAATTGATACGTTTCTACCGGAGACTGAGGGTTATCACGCCAAAATACTTTCTGATACCTGCGATCATCGGGATGCATCATCACGCATCGATACATTTTGGAAATATCAGCCGTCATTACGTATTGATGTCGTCTAAATTGTAAAATAATAGTGAAAAGATCGGGCTGTAAGACTGGGCCAGTCAATAGCATGTCGTTTAAACTTTTGTTGTTGGAACTTTTTGCCGAACCATCGAAAACGACCCTAAATTTTGTAGTAGCGCTAGTCTCTTTTATTACACACGAATGGGGCAAGTAAAAGGAATTTTCGGATGAGTCACTGGGTACTCTTTCCATATGCCCGAGCTCTAAATATTCTTTCATAAAAGCTTTATACCCCTCGTCAAGCTTGGGATCTCGCATCCGTTTCCGTTCGACCGCCATAAACCTGTTCAATGCCATATCTTTGGAATTTCCCAAATCCGGCGGATTTTGACAAAAGGGTAACCGTACTTGGAACCGGCCGTCCTGAAGGCGATCGGTACTATTTTTGAAATGCGTCTCGCAACTGTCGCCGTGAGGCTTTATTACAAATTCTTTATGGTCGCCGATACCACTACTTTCTAATTCCCAGAACCTAGCGATGGATTCATCTAAACTTATTTTGAAACAATTTGCCGTGTTACCGCTTATATTGCCAAGGGCGCCTCCCAGAATCCACCCAAAAACCGTATTCTGCAGAGTTGGTTTGTTCTTTCCCAGAGTAAATTTACCGGCAATTAATAAATCTAAAAATAATTCTGCACCTATTAGTAAGTCTACGGGACCTGGACAATGAAATGACGGATCTGCTAATTCTAAGTCTGACGGAATGTTGAGAGATTTAATGTTGAAGGTATGAGTTGGTAGCGGCTCCGTGATCGTTTTTACGACAAGACATTTTAAATTTGCTCGAAATTTTGTTATTCTGCTTTGAATATGAATATCCGTTACTTTTTTGATGTTACTTTTACCATTTATTCCTAATATGGACATGTTTATGTCTTGCGAAGGCAAATTTAAAAAGGCACACAACCGTTCACTGATAAAATGGGATTGACTCCCTATATCTAGCAACGCGCGACATTGTATTTGTTTGCCATTTGGACCGGATGTAGTCACTAATGCTGTGGAAAGCAAGATGTTAGATGTGACCGCCAAATTACAATGCGATGTACTGGGGCATAGTTTGTCAAATTCCTCCGCATCATTTAAATTTGTCTTATTATTGGTTGAAGCGTTGTTTTCAAAATGTAAAAGGGTGTGATGATTTTTGCCACAATTTTTACAGCCGCTTGCCTTGCAGTCTTTCGTCGAGTGATTTGATCTGAAGCAATTTATGCAGCGATTCATCGTTTTGATGCGGTCAAATCTTTCGTTTGGCGTTAGCTTCGAAAAATCTTCGCAACTGAAAATACCATGCGTTTTGTTGCAAATGAAACACGGAGTTGTAAATTTTTTAATCGTTTGCGATCGAGATGTATAAAACACACGTTTTTTGGAGAGTCCCGGATTCAAAGTGTGAGAGTTTTTAGTTGCAATTGAAGATTTTTCTATTTTACTAAAAAATTGTTTGTGAACCTGCATCGATTCTAGCATCTGGCATCGTTTTTCCAAAAATGACAATAATTCCTCGTGTGTAGGAATCGCGTTGGGGTTCAATGATTCCTCCCAGGCTGCACAGGATAAATAATCTAGCCTGGATGAAATCACATGCACCAACAAATCGCTCCAAGCATCTACGGGGCGTTTTAAGGACTTAAGCGTATTTAAATTAATATTTATCGCGTCTAGAAAATTGCGCAGCGATTTACAATCCCCCTTTTGAACATGCCCCAAATCAAAAATATTTTTTACATGATTATTGATGACTAGCCTTTTATTTTCGTATCTTTGTTTTAAAAGATCTAACGCGATTTCGTAATTAATATCGTTGATTTTTAACGAATCTAAAGTACGCTTCGGCTCGTCGTCTAGACAGGCCTTTAAATAGTGCAGTTTTTGGGACGGCGTTAAATTGCAGTTCAAGTGGATTAATCCCTTAAAAGTGTCGAAAAACGGCACCCAATCGATAAAATTACCGCTAAATTTTGGCAATTCGATTGTAGGTAATTTTACATTTAACAATTGGCCGCTTCCTGGCCCGGATGCCGATCGCGGTTCTACATGTTCCGTACCGGCGTCTGTTAATAATTTATCAAACATTGCTAAAGTGTCGTACATCTTGTTTTTTACATCTTTGAATTGGTAAACGACCGCTTCCTCGTCACTTTCGAATTCTAATGAATGCACCCCAGATTCATTGAAATGTGCTATGATTTCAACGAGTTGTGTTTTTAATGTTTCTAAATCTAACAAGCGCCGTTTAAGATTAGTTATTTTGGAATGATTTTCCGGGTCGGAAACAAATTCGTACTGATCATTCAAACTTGAAAAAGCCACTAAAAACGAATTTTCTGTTATTTCGGGCATTGTGTGAGGAAATGACACCGCTAATTAGCAGAATATTGTGTCTGACCTTGTTTCGCTAAACTCCGGAATTTGGAGTCCTCAGTCGACGCCTGGCTCCTGATGGGTCTGTATTTGGGTATGGATATGACGACGCCTCGATCTTCAGGATCTTGACTTCACGAAGAACTCGGCTGTACGTGCTTCTATAGCGGCTTCTCCGGCGGTTCCTCTTGCAATCGGTGATAATGAGGCTCCCGAATGCGTTGTATGGGGCTGTATTTGCGACTCACTCGAGTATCGATATTCCGAACGATACAAACGTGTATTTCACAAGTATTTTTCTGGCGCGCGGTCGCGTATGTGTGGTATTTATGCTTTATAGTCGCTATCCGGCTCGAAGGACCATATTTGTGTTTAGTATTATAGCTCGAACAGCAGACCGTCGTATATGTAAAGCAAACGTATAGATTTATAAAATGTATTTATTGGCCACCGTGCACCTAACTTACAATACTAAGTGTTTACAATTTCAAAACTCTCGAGTGAATGAATGCGTTCTCGTCTTCAAGGTCCCAAGCGGTCGGTCAGAACACCCCTAACAGGGGTGGGGTGGGTTGTTCACCGAATCGGTACGCGTAACAACAGTTACAGTAAAAATCACTGAAACAATAGTAATTAAATGAATAAACGAAAACATTACACTTTCAGTTGTTTCTGATTAAATAGTTTGCTTTAGACAAAAAAGATACATCTATAAATAAATATTTTTTTTTTAGTTTGATGATCCAAAAGGTCAGTTTATCTGCTTTTTGTGTAAGCAACGCAACTGGAAAAAATAAAAAATAATAAAAAAACTTTGTTTTTAATAGTTTTATTAATTCTTCAGGAATGCAAAAAAATGTGTACAACATCAAAAACAATCAACACGTTTGCATAAAAACTTAAATAAACAAAATGAGTTAAAAGTCACTGTTTGGCCGATTTTCAATCCACTCTTTGATTCCTGGCAACGTTTCAACCTTGTCTCGCAGCAACTTCAGATTCGGATACGCGGCGAAAGTATCACCACCAATAAACGCATCAAAACCAGGACTCATACTGACGAAATATAAATCCGCCCAAGTCAACTAAAACCAACAATTTAAGGAAAAAACTTAAAACGTACCAAAAACCTACACGACCAACCGCCAAATTTCCCTTATTTTTCTCCACCAAAGCTTCCAAGCGTGCAAGATAATAAGGAACGATTTCCTCAAGAACTGTGTCTTTCAGTTCTCGTTTTTTAACCGCATCTTGCTCCCACTGAACCAACATAATTTCTAAAACAACATGTTAACATATACGTTTCAAAATCAAAAATCATCCCTTACTCATACGCAAATCGTTCATTGTGTCTACTATTGAATCAATTTCCAGGTTTTCCCAGTCGTTGTTTCCGGCGAGGTTCACCATCTTGCCCAAGTATCTGCAGATGGCAGCACTCTGACAGATTTGCTTTCCGTTGTGTTCCATCACGGGTACTTGACCAAACGGTGTACCTAACACTTGGTATATATAGTACAAATTTAGTAAATGTTTGTGTACTCACTGTTCTTCATCTTGGGCCAATCTTGCCTCTTGATCCTGATGTCTTCAAAGTCGATGTTGCCATATTTGAAGAGAAATCTGGCGGATTCGGCGAAACCTCGGCCATCGAAGTATGTAAGTTTGTACAGTGGTGCCATTGTAGACAACTTGAGAGAGAATTGACGAACAACTGTGAAAATGTGTCGGTGTTTGCAACCTATATATTCACGAACGTGTTTCTAACGTTTACTGTGTGTTTTAACACTTTTGTTAGTCAGAGTATTTTTAGAAGAAGTTTTACGAGGAAATAAAATTTACGCAGAAGGTCTGATGTTGTAAATTTGTGTAAAATAATTTTTATTTTTTGAATTTGTTTGCAAATAGAATCAGTTAATTTTGTCAAATCATCATTCTTGCCACCAATTTCACAATATTGTGTTATCAAAACACAAACAGCCTTTTCACACTGTTTTGTAATATTACCAATGATGTATTTTGACTCTGATCAACAGTGTCGTCTGTCAACAAGAATGACATCATTTGGTAAATTTGATTCAAATAAAAGGTCACTAATTAATTTAAAGGAATTAGAAAGGGGAACCCAAGGGAATTAGAAACGTCAAAAGAGACAAGGAATGAACCTGGAGGAACCATCACATGTTCCAACTACTTATGAATTTTGGGGAAGTCATGCAGAGATTGAAGAATTCATGGTATGATGAGAAAATTTAATTTAGAAGCTAAATACAAATCATTTTAAAATTCTGACTTAGGACGCGTCTCCACCCACTTCTTGATGTTGGGAATCTCCAAAATTTTCTCCTTCAAGGCCGCCAACTTCGGGTAGTCCTTCAAAATATTGAATCCAGCAACGATATCCAAAGCTTGTGACATACTAACAAAGTACAAGTCAGCCCACGTCAGCTATAACCAAAAAAAATATATAGATATACCACTCATAGATAAGATTTCAAAAAACATACACGTCCTGCAGCCAAATATCCGTTATTTTTCTGACAAAGCTCGTCAAACCGTTTCAAATAATACGGAAGTACCTCCTTCAGGACGTTCTCCCTCAAAGCTTTCTTCTTCTCTTCGTCGGTCTCCGTACGAAGACCACTCAGCTCTTAAATAAAAAGCAACAACTCTACTTTGAACACTACAACAAAGCAAACTATACTCAAGCAACTGTCCTTGATGGTGTCCACCACCGCATCAATTTCCAGGTCCTCCCAGTCATCTTTACCTGCCAGTTTCACCTGCTTGGCTGCATACCTCGCTATGGCTATGCTCTGACCTGCCTGCTTGCCGTTGTGTTCCAGGACCGGGAGGTGCCCGAATGGGGTTTCTGTGAACACGAAGGGATGTATTTTTGGGTGGTGTTACGTTGAATACAGACGGTCTTTCAAGGCTGGCCATTTGTCGTGCGGGATTCGGGCGTCCTCGAATTCCACTCCTCCGTAGCTGAGGATGAAGCGGATGGGTTCTGCCCAGCCTCTGGTCGGGAAGTAGATTAGTTTGTACGATGGGGCCATTTCTGAGAAGTGGGATCGCTCACCTTGACTGTCGGATCGTTACTAACGTGTGGAGCGCCAAGGCTGTGTTTGTTTAGCTGGAGTTGATGGTGTAAAAATAGTTATCAGTGGATTTTTCGTTCGATTAGAGATAAGGGGATAATTAGAAATAAAATTTGCGCTCAATGGTCTTTGACGGTTTATGATAAAAATTTTGGGCATTTTTAAAAATTGAGATAAAAAAAAAATAAACAGACGAATTGAGTGTGTTTTGTAAACTAAAGAAATTTAGCTGAAATTCGCCAAGTAATAAAATTTTAAATAATTTTAATTCACCTTTAAATCATGAGGGTTGTATTTCTGGTTGCATACTTAAACTCTCATACAAATTTAATCTGTGATTTGATATTGGACGATTTTTTTTATCATTTGTCTGGATTTTAGTTATTGACATAAATTACCTAAAAATCATAAATTAAGTGAAGGTGGTGTTTGTTGCAGAGTAGTTCCATCTTGTAGCAATGAGATGGCACCACTTACTAAATTCTGACACTACATCTCACTATCATTTATCGACCATGGTTAACGTTATATACCAGTAGGTTCCGACACCCACCGTACTCGCTTCGGCGGTACATATACTAAAATTGGAACGATACAGAGAAGATTAGCATGGCCCCTGCGCAAGGATGACACGCAAAATCGTGAAGCGTTCCACATTTTTTGTTATTTCGATAGAAATTACTTGTAAATTTATTTAGTAACCTTTTTGTGTTTTAAAAATTATTTTTAGGTTGCTTTACAAGCGGGCAACTTCCTGGTTTTATCTTGTAGTATGGTAATTAGATCCTTATCTCGGTTCTGAGATATTAAACCATCTGGTAAAATTTTACTTGTGGGTATGCAGCCAACAATACACACATGTCGATTTTAATCGAAATTTAGTACGCACGCGTTCGCAGCCGTGTTGCCAACTAAATATTGTATAATTTCCAAAACTAGAATGATTTTAAAAGTTCAGCAGCAATAATATTAATCAAGAATCAGAGTTGACATGATTGTATTACAATAATTATTCTACCGATGGCAACACTGTCCCACAGTCTAAAAACTCCCTAGAAAGATAATTAAGATTGTGGGAAACAGAAAGGCAACAGTGGAGCGTTTAAAAAACATACAATGGAGAAACATTAATGAAATTTTAGGGAAAATAAAAAACGTCACTCGTTCTTCTTTAACTCTGTTATATAACGCGAGTACAACAAAAAATACTTATACTTAGAGCAGGCGGTGAAAATTCACTTGTTTAAGTTTTTTTTTAAAGTGTAGAAAGAATCACGTCTAAAGCTGACGGTTATTGAAAATGACATTTAACAACAAAGCAAAGTTAGGTCTGGTAATAAAACATTTTCTTACTTCCCGCTTTTACTCGTAGAGCTGAAAATTGTCATTTACAAACTCATTTTAGACATGTTTTAAATTTCTTGTTGTCGAAATAAGTCTACACGTATTAAGAAAAAAAGGCAAAATGTAGCCCCGCCCACCCACCCTATCTCAATTGTGATGATTTTTTTATTCGTCGTGAGCCAAGAAGGTGGAGCTTAACTGCAAAATCCTTATTTCTCTACGAAAAATTAAAAACATGTTTGTGAGTATCGTGTTGTTCAAAGAATACTATGTATATAAAGAAAAAAATAAAGCCAAAGATCAGGTCCCACCCATACCCGCCCCGATCTCAATTCTCAATTGTGATGATGAATTTTTCATTCGTTGTCAGATCGAGGGGTGGGGCTTGATTGCAAGATCCATATTTGTCTAGTAGAATTTACCATTTTAAACATGTTTTAGGTTTCTTGTTCTGAAAAGACGATTACGTATATTAAGAAAAAAGGCAAAATATAAGCCCCGCCCACCCGCCCTATCTCAATTGTGATGATTTTTTTTAATAGTCGAGAGCCTAAGTGGAGGAAATTAATTGCAAAATACTTATTATTTCTCTATAAAAAATTACCATGTAAGACGTGTTATTCAAAGAATACTATGTACATACATTTAGAAAAAATTTAAGCCAAAGATTAAGGCTCACACATACCTGCCCTGATCTAAATAATAAGGAACTTTTCATCCGTTGGCAGACCTGACAAGGAATGAAAAATTCATCACGATTGAGATCGAGACGAATTTTTTCAGAATTTTTAGACAATTTTTTTAGTGAAATTTTTCCCATGGTTTTCTTCAAATTTCGGCAAAATTTTGACATTTTTGAAACCTAACTAAATACATTTTCTTGTACATTTTAGGTTATAGAACTCACTTCCGGGCTCGTTTCTTTGATAACTGCAACCGTTTTCCCAGAATCGACCATTGAAATTTCGAAATTTTTAGAAAATTTCAAAAATTCTCATTTCATACCGATTTTAGCGAATATTTTGCTTCGTGACCATTAAAATTCTATATTTTTGGAATCAGCAAGTCGGAATCTACATCCCTGAATTTTTTCAGAATTTTTAGACAACTTTTTTTTTAGTGACATTTTTCCAATGGTCCCCTCCTTCTTAAAATTTCGGCCAAATTTTTACATTTTCGAAACTTAACTAAACACATTTTCTTGTACATTTCGAGTTTTAGTACTCACTTCCGGCCTCGTTTCTTTGACAACTGCAACCGTTTTCCCAGAATCGACCGTTGAAATATCGAAATTTTTAGAAATTTAAAAAAATTCTAATTAAATACCGATTCTAGCGAATGTTTTGTTCCGTGACCATAAACATTCTATATTTTTGGAATCATCACATCAAGATCTACACTCCTGAATTTTTTCAGAATTTTTGGACAACTTTTTTTTTAGGGAAATTTTTCTAATGGTCCCCCCTTCTGCAAATTTCGGCCAAATTTTGACATTTTCGAAACTGAACTAAATACATTTTCTTGTACATTTCGAGTTCTAGAACTCACTTCCGGCCTCGTTTTTTTGATTACTGCAACCGTTTTCCCAGAATCGACCGTTTAAATATGGAAATTTTTAGAAATTTTCAAAAATTCTCATTAAATACCGATTCTACCTAATATATTGCTCCGTGACCATAAACATTTTATATTTTTGGAATCAGCAAATCGAGATCTACATCACTGAATTTTTTCATAATTTTTGGACAACTTTTTTTTTAGGGAAATTTTTCTAATGGTCCCCCTTCTGCAAATTTCGGCCAAATTTTGACATTTTCGAAACTGAACTAAATACATTTTCTTGTACATTTCGAGTTCTAGAACTCACTTCCGGCCTCGTTTTTTTGATTACTGCAACCGTTTTCCCAGAATCGACCGTTTAAATATGGAAATTTTTAGAAATTTTCAAAAATTCTCATTAAATACCGATTCTACCTAATATATTGCTCCGTGACCATAAACATTCTATATTTTTGGAATCATCACATCAAGATCTACACTCCTGAATTTTTTCAGAATTTTTGGACAACTTTTTTTTTAGGGAAATTTTTCTAATGGTCCCCCCTTCTGCAAATTTCGGCCAAATTTTGACATTTTCGAAACTGAACTAAATACATTTTCTTGTACATTTCGAGTTCTAGAACTCACTTCCGGCCTCGTTTTTTTGATTACTGCAACCGTTTTCCCAGAATCGACCGTTTAAATATGGAAATTTTTAGAAATTTTCAAAAATTCTCATTAAATACCGATTCTACCTAATATATTGCTCCGTGACCATAAACATTTTATATTTTTGGAATCAGTAAATCGAGATCTACGTCACTGAATTTTTTCATAATTTTAGACAACCTTTTTTTAGTGAAATTTTTCCAATGGTCCCCCCTTCTTCAAGTTTCGGCCAAATTTTGACATTTTCGAAACTTATCTAAATACATTTTCTTGTACATTTCGAGTTCTAGAACTCACTTCCGGCCTCGTTTCTGTGATAACTGCAATCGTTTTCCCAGAATCGACCGTTGAAATAACAAAGTTTCTAGAAATTTTCAAAAATTCTCATTTCATACCGATTCTAGCTAATATTTTGCTTCGTGACCATAAACATTCTATATTTTTGGAATTAGCAAATCAAGATCTTCATTCCTCAATTTTTTCAAAATTTTTAGACAACTTTTCTTTTAGTGAAATTTTTCCAATGGTCCGCCCTTCTTCAAATTTCGGCCAAATTTTGACATTTTCGAAACATATCTAAATACATGTTCTTGTGCATTTCGAGTTCTAGAACTCATTTCCGGCCTCGTTTCTTTGATAACTGCAACCGTTTTCCCAGAATCGACCGTTGAAATATCGAAATATTTAGAAATTTTCAAAAATTCTCATTTCATACCGATTCTAGCGAATATTTTGCTCCATGACCATAAACATTCTATATTTTTGGAATCAGCAAATCGAGATCTACATCCCTGAATTTTTGCAGAATTTTTAGACAATTTTTTTTAGTGCAATTTTTCCAATACCCCCTTCTTCAAATTTCGACCAAATTTTGACATTTTCGAAACTTAACTAAATGCATTTTCTTGTAGATTTCGAGTTCTAGAACTCACTTCCGGCCTCGTTTCTTTGATAACTGCAACCATTTTCCCAGAATCTACACTCAAGGGAGTCAAAATCCCCGATATCTTCTCGGCTAATTCGTCCGAAATGAGTTGTGGATCAAACTGAATTCCCTTTTTTTTACCAATAGAAATAATTTCTTGTGGTGGAACTGGGTCTTTGAAATACTCTTCGTAACTTTGTTTCTTCACGTTCCAAGTTTTATCAGTAACTTCCGCTGGGATGTAAAATCCAATTCCTCTTTCATAAAAAAACCCGAAAGCATCTCCTGTTAGACCATCGTATAAAACGCTGACGTTGTTGCGGTAGTCTAAAAGGGCGACTTTTTCTTGTGTTTTGTGACGAGGAAAGTAGTAGCCGTGTTTGGCGTTAATTTGGTATAATAAGTAATCTGTTGAAAGTGTGCCATTAATTTATTATTTCGTTGTTGCATTTGTACCTGAATGCTGTTTTTCCTCCTCGCAGCTTTCGCTACTTCCATACTCCTCCCGTGAATCATCGGTTTCATCAAGTTGTCTTCTTCCTAAAACAAACAAATTGTTTCATTTGTGTAAAATAATAACTGTGCAAACCTTGTGTTAGCGAAGTTACAATAAGTAGAACGATCGGAGAAATAATCGCTCTTGTGTGAATAGTTACAAAATTTATATATTTTTATATTTTATTTATGTTCTGAAATATTCATTATTTATGTTCTACTATTTTTTATTATTATTTTTGGCCGATTGTTGCCAAATTTTGTATTTATGTTAGGAATATCATGTAGATGGTAGAACGCCAACCAAAATTTTTGTAATCATCCCCACCACTAATGCGATGACGTCACTTCAAAATTGTACATAGTTAATGGGTTTTAAATTGTATAAAGTAACACATGTATTTTATGACTCCGAACTGAGTTTTTACCCGAAACGTCCAGATTTTTGGAAAAAAAAATCAAAATTATGAAACAACATTTTGCAATTTAATTTTGAATCTGCTAAACCTAATGCTTTGAAATCTTGCAGATGTTTTAAGGTTATAACGAGCATAATACATTTTTACTCAAAATATATTTGGTTATCCCCTCCAAAAAATTGATGACGTCAGCTCAAAAGTTTGTCGAATAAATCCTATCTAAAAATACAAAATATGTATGATGAGTCTGTACTAGTAATTTATCATTCCATTCATATCTTTTAAATTTGCATATACAGGGTGACTCGAAAAAATTAATGAATGCATAAATTTATTTTATTGATTTACTCAGGAACTACAAAACCGACTGCTTTGAAATCTACTGCGAAAAAAAGACATAATAGGAATGCAGTCGTCACGTTTCCGACAGCGAGGGAAGTACTGTCTAAACTCTTTAGACCAATTTTTTCATCTCCTTTTTATTTTGTTTCCTTTTCTATGTTTATCTTGGTTTCCTCCATTTTCTTGCTATAAACGATTATTATTTGCCATCAATTGTTATTCAGCTGCATTACTTTCTTCATTAGTCCATTTTTATTTCCAATTTTTTCATTTCTTTTCGAATTTCCATTACTATTTTTCTTTTCCTTTGTCGCTCCTTGACATTCCCACACAAATAATAAATATGTAAAATTGGTTAGACAGAACAACATTTTTCATATCTCTTTGTTACTATGTTCAAATTTTGTCGTTTGTGTCTTTAAATTTTTATATTATTTTTTTGTGGTGTTCAACTTTGATTATGCTAGTCTTCTCATCCAAACACTCTTAAGATTCTTTATTTAACTAGTAGTACAACATGAAGCGGCACACCTGTCAGACTAAAACAAAATGCACAACAGAATCTGACAATTCAACTAGGATAAAAGACGCCGATGCAATTTTGCAATGCCTGAGAAAAAAGGGAATTGTATATTCGCATTACTACTTAGTTAGATAAGAAATGAGTGTTTGAATGAGAAAACTGTCAGTAAGTATTATAATGCTTAAAACAAAATTAGTGTTTCGCAAATAGAGATTCAGGATTTATTTATGAAACAACATAAAATAATAACATCGATAAACAATAAGATAGCGAAAACATAACAATAATCCCATAAGTATTGAGTTTTCACGGCTAAATTGGTTATGGTAGATCTCCCCTTTACAAACCCATGCTGGCGTGTGGAAATCATTCCTGATATGTGAAGGTAGATGAAACAAAACATGATAATATGTGTCTGTTTTTATCAACACGTTGACTATGTTAACAATGGCCCGAATCATCTAAAATTGAGGTACAATTATTTTGAATCAACTAAGTAAGTAAGTTTTTAGCGATCGATTTATATTTTAATATGAACTACAGATTCTACAGTTTTGGTTTCCTTACCTATTCTAGGTTTACACCATATTCATATTTTTGACTTTCCTAGTAATAGTATATTTTACAGCAATAACAATGTAATGAAGCTTGTTGTTAACATATAATTAGGAAACAAGTTTAATAGATGGAATATAACTTTATTAGAACGTGTTGGAAGAAAGTAAAATATGTGTTTCCCCGGTGGTGCATCACAAGTTACAATTAGTGCTATAGGAGAACAAATTCTCAAACAAAAAAATTAAAATGAGTCTACTGTTTATCCTCTATCTTATCTAAAATCTTGTCTGCGTATTTTGCTTTTCCAGGAAGTTGAAGCTGGACAATTTCTTTGACAACAGCAGACATGTTAACGCCTTTTTGACACCACTTTCCGGCTATTATATCGTCAAGACGCTTTACTAAATCATTGAAAGGGTCCTCAAGTTTTAACTCTTTAATCGTTTTCCGCAGAAATTGAATAGAAGACAGCCACTTCTCTTCTAAACCATCACTATTTCCTCTCGGATTGGTACAATACCTTACTAAAAGAATACGTAAATTTTCTTTGGAGTTTTCGCCGTAATTGTACAGAGTGATTTCGGTCAAAATGTAGATAAGTCCGTCATAACCATGATCAATTTCACCCCCTAGTTTATTAATAAGAATAAAAAACTGAGGTTCACCATTCATCTGTTCCCCAGACACTTTCTTCAAGTCAAATTTCGGAGCCAGTATTTCTAGAAGATAACACAGAACGTAAATCCCACCCTTTTTGTTCAAAATTACAGCAAGATCTAAATGAATCTTTTTTTTGTTTAAAGCGTCTATACCACCAAAAGGTGTAAAATATTCGGCTAACCCCTGATGCATTCCTACCAACCACTTGAAATCGCCTTGAATTTCTGTCAAAACGTTACCCATGACACCTTCAAAATCCGCTAAATACGTCTTATGCCGATCAGACGTTATTTTAGAGACGTGTAAAGCAGTGGCAAAAGCTTCACACTCAGAAGAATAGTCTGTACTCAAGGGTGTCAAAATCTCTGATAACTTCTCGGCTGTATCGTCCGAAATGAGCTGTGGATCAAACTGGATTCCTTTTCTTTCACCAATAGAAAGAATCTCTTGTGGAGGAAATGGGTCTTTGAAATATTCCTCGTAACTTTGTCTCTTCACGTTCCAAGTTTTATCAGTAACTCCTGATGGGATGTAAATTCCAAGTCCTCTTTCATAGAAAAAACCAAAAGCATCTCCTGTTAGACCATCGTAGAAAACGCTAATGTTGTTGCGGTAGTCCAAAAGGGCTACTTTTTCTTGCGTTTTGTGACGAGGGAAGTAATAGCCATGTTGAGCGTTAACTTGGAATAACAAACGATCTGTTGAAACTGTGTAATTGATTGATTATTTCGTTGTAATATTTTTACCTGAGTCCTGTTTGTGGTGCTTGAAGCTTTCACTGCTTTCAGATTTATGGGGTGAATTTCTAGACTCATTTTTTTCTTCTGAGCTGTACAAACCTTGTGTCAGTGAAGTTACAATTAGTATACGGAATACGATGTCCAAGAATTTCATTTTTGTTCACAGTTGAACTGAAAATTTTGTATTTGAGCAAGTTTTTCATACGTTGCGCCTTAGTAATAAAACAACGTTTTAACCATTGCATTTTGATTGTGGTACACTTTCCAGTGTGATATAAATATTCAAGGGACCACAAAGCGATAACGTAACGATAATTTCCAGATAACGGAAAATTTAAAAGTCAGAGTGGTTATTGTGAAATATTTTTTAATTTGGTGTAGTAGATTTAAGACGCACTTTTTTTCACTTCTCCAAAAATAAAGCATCAGGAGCCCCTGAGATTCATTTAAATTCCTGCAAAAACAAAACATGCGGATTGCGGAGGCTTCAAGATTCTTTAAAACACCGTGCGCTCTAAAAATTGTTGTTTTTTATTTTTTTTTGAAAAATGAAACATTGGGTGTTCAAAAAATTCTTGAAGAAATTAAAAAAAATAAACCACTAGGGCCCTCTAAGATTCTTTAAAATTCTTTCAAATATAAAGCATCAGGTGATCCCTCAAGATTATTTAAATTCCTCCTCCTAAAAAGAACACACCAGAACCTATAGAACTAGAAACTTGATTAAATTCAGCATATTTGATCTTAATATCAAAGATGACGTAGGTCGGTTTGATAGTTCTAATTTCAGTGCTAAATATTCAAAATTATATATATATATTTAATTGTTAAATATAACAGGTGATCAAAAAGTTTTCAGATTAGAGTTGGCCGTGGAAAGTTTAATCATAAACAGTCAAAGTTAAATAACTACTAAGAATTAAGAATACATTCGAATGCATTATGTTATGAAAACGCACTTGTTTATATCGACTCTAAAGCAAACGTATTATATTTAAATTTAATTCAGTATGCTTCTAGCGAGCGCAACGGTGACGTCAAACTAAAAATGTTAAACCGTTTGGCTCATAAATTTAAATTTTATTACGCAGTTGTATTTTTTATGTCATAGATATAAGGCAAGCGTCACTTGTTTAAGTTTGACGAGTTTTGTTTTCGACTTTCAAATTTTTGTGTTGACGTTATTTGTAAAGTTGTTTACGTTTTTCGTCTTAAATATGTATTTTATTTAAATTTGCTTTATCTAAACACACGAAAAATGTGGGCCGAAATTATGATTTTATTAATATTTATTCTTGTTTTTCAACAAAAAAGCATCGACGTCATTTCTTGGATATATTTTTGTTGCAACATAAAATGACACTTAAAAATTGGCGAAAAGACAAAAATCTAACACCTTATGATACAAAAATATCGTAAATCGAATCTAGTCTTTCGTCTTTAACATTTTTAGAACCTTATCCGCCAATTCTGTTTTTCCAGGAAGTCAAATTTGAACAATTTCTTCAATTTTTTAGGAGACAAACCAATAAATTTTGCTTAATGATTTACCATGATTACGTTAACCTTAAAATATTTAAAAGATTTCGGAGCAATCGGTTTTGCAATTTCAAAGTTAAATTGCAAAATATTGTTATTCAGTTTTGAATTTTTTTCAAAAATTCTGGATGTTTAAGGTGAAAATTCGACCCAAATTCACACACCACACCAGTATCTTATTTTATAAAATTAAAAAAACTGTATATTCTAAATTTTGGAGATGACGTTATCCCATTGGTGGTGGGGATGATTAACGAAATTTTAGTCAGCGTTTAAGCATCTACATGATATTCTTAATATACATACGAAATGTGAGAACAATCGGTCCAGTAGTTTCGGAAATTACTTGTCAAATAAAGAGAGACAGACAGACGGAAACAGGAGACCAATTTTTTCGTACTCTAGACGTCATGACACGTCGAGAAAATATGAAATTGGCAATTTAACGCTCGGGACGTAAAAAGAAAGGATAAATTAGAAACAATTAGTAGAGCTTGCATAGGGTACAGTACTGACGTCCAATTAAAAATGAAAGTTGTGTTATTTCACTTGTAAGATATTATAAAATTAACCTAAAATTTTTACGACTTATTTTTACGTTACATATATAAATAATTAATATGTAAAGTTGGTTAGACCGAGACATGACGATATTTTTTATGTCTCTTTGTTACCATTTTCGAAACATTAATATCCTTTTGTTCGACTTTCAAATTTGTACTTTGGCGCATTTTGTGAATTGATTTGAGTTTTATTTTTAAATTTTTATATTATTTAAATCTGCTTTGCTTAAACACAAGGGAACTAAGAAAAATATTTGTTCAAGGTGCATGAGAAGACTAGAACAATCAGTCAATTTGACCTGTTTAATAGTGCGTCGTCTTCTCATCCAAATACTCTTTCCTTTATCTAAGTAGGTAGACGTTTAAACAAATATTGTTGCGAATGTTAAAATAAAATATGCTTCTGTGATCTAAATAGAACTGGTTATTTAGGCCTAAATGGCTTTCCTCAACATCAACCAACAAAATTAATGTTTCGCAAATAGAGATTCAGGATTTATTTTTGAAACAACATAAAATAATAACATCGATAATATTCAATAAGATAGCGAAAACATAACAACAATAATCCCATTTTTCATATGATATATAATTAGTACTAGTGACCAAATATCTTCTGTAATAACATTGTTAAAGACGAATCTATTCTTTCTTTTACAGCTTTTCCAGAATCTTGTCCGCTGCGTCTGCTTTTGCAGGCAGTTGGATTTGAAGAATGTCTTTAACAACTGCAGACATATTAATACCCTTTTGATGCCACTTTCCATCCAATATACTGTCAACAGCCTTAGTCACACGTTCAAACGATTCTTCAAGTTTTAACTTTTTAAGTGTTTTGCGTAGAGTTCCTAGAGCTGACAACCACTGCTCTTCCACTTTGTCATGGCTTCCTCTCGGATTCGTACAATACTTTACTAGAACAGCACGTAAGTTTTCCTTTGAACTTGCACCATAATGGTATTTGGTGATTTCCGTCAAAAGGAAGATAAATCCGTCTGCACCATAATCGACTTCACCCCCCAATTTAGTAAGAAGACTAGCAAACTCGAGATCATTGTTCATCTGCTTCCCAGATATTTTCCCCAAATCAAACTTCGGCGCCAGAGCTTCTAGAAGATAACACAGCACGTAAATTCCACAAACCTCGTTCAAAATTTTGGCGAAGTCGATGTGGACGTGTTTTTTGTTTAGAGCTTCTACACCACCAAATGGGGCAAAGAATTCTCCTAACCCTTGATATATCCCGATCAACCATTTGAAGTCGCCGTGATTTACTGTATTAACGTCACCCACCACACCCTCAAACCCTGCTAAAGAAGTCTTAAACTTGTCGGATGTTATTTTTGAGATGTATAGAGCTGTAGCTAGAGCTTCACACTGCGAAGAATAATCTGCACTCAGAGGGCTTAAAATTCCTGACAACTTTTGAGCCATTTCGTCCGAAATGAGTAGTGGATCGAACTGAATTCCTTTTTGTTCTCCAATTAAAATAATGTCTTTTGGTGGAACTGGTTTTCGGAAATAGTCTTCGTAGCTTTGTTTCTTAACGTTCCAAGTTCCCCGGCTGGAATGTAAAACCCTATTCCCGTTTCATAGGTAAATGCGAAAGTATCTCCTGATAAGCCATCGTAGAAAACGCTAATATTGTTGCGATGGTCTAAAAGAGCCACTTTTTCTTGTGTTTTGTGATGAGGGTAGTAATAGCCGAGTTTTGCATTAACCCGGAAGTCCAAAAGATCATTTGAAGCTGTGTTATTTATATTTAGTAATAATTTATCAATTGGTTTTTATATTTTTACCTGATTTTTTTTCATTACTCTGGGAGCTTTCGCTCCTGTCAGATACATCTTTAGAATTTTTTGAGTGATCTTTTTCCCCTGGACGGTGATTTCCCTTTGTTTTTCCTAAAACGAAAAAAAAAATTTTTGTTATTTTTTACCAATTTTATCTTTTATTATCTAAGTGTATGGTACAAACCTTGTGTTAGCGTAGTTATGATTACAATACAAAACACAGCAGCAGTTAGTAGCTTCATTTTTGCTTCAACGTGGACTGAAAATTTTGTTTGCTACGATGTTATTTAATATGTCACATTTGGACTATAAAAACACATTTTAACATTACATGAATTGCTGAATAATAATTTGTATTATAGCACGGTTACGTTACGTATAACTTTTTATTCCTACATAAATATTCAAAATATTCAAAATTATCTTAATATATGCAATTTTTTAAATATTTTTTCCGATGACAAATAATTTTCCGTTCTTAGTAGTAGTCGTAGTAGTTTAGAAATATATGTGCAGGTCGACGAATGTCTAACCTAAAAAATTGTCAAAGATTATTTAGGCAGAACTTCCTTAAGTAAAATTAAAAGAAATATATAATTTTGCGAAATGTTATTTGTTATAACCTCAATACATTAAAACATATATACAAATAACACCAGTAAGAGTGTAGGAAGCTAAATGATCCTATAAATGTGTTTTGGCAACCTATGCATATTTTTGCGTTTGTCTACGATATCCTACCCTTTTTTTAATCACACTTAATATTATATATTGTGATACTACGCCACTGTCTATGATTCGAACGCGTTATGTTACGAAAACACACTTGTTTATATCGATTCTAAAGTAAACGTATGGTGACGTCAAACTAAAATTATTGACCGTTTGACTCATAAAAAATATCAACACAAATTTTAAATTTTATTACGTAGTTGTATTTTTTATGTCATAGATATAAGGCAAGCGTCACTTGTTTAAGTTTGACGAGTTTTGTCTTCGTCTTAAATGTGTATATTATTTAAATTTGCGTTAAGGTGGATTTATGAAATTGCTGCTGACGTTGCTGTTCGCCGTTGACGTTGCCTTTGATTTTGGATTTTCAACCAATCAAATTGCGCTGACAACGAATGAAAAAATTTATTCTGATTGAGATCGAGACGGATGGGTGGGGCATTGCTTTTGGTTTTCTTTTTTAATTAATACCTTTAGTTTTCTTTGTATAACACGATTACTTAAGAACATATTTTACATGGTAATTCCTCGTAGAAAAATAAGGATTTTACAACCCCTCGGCTCAACACGAAGAAAAAAAATCATCA